TCCCTGAAGTCGGCAGATTTCTGATGTAAATCAGCAAACAACCCAACAACGGCGTCCAAGAGAGAAATTTGCTTTGTCGGTTCAGTCACCCGTATAGTCAATGACGCGGGAGGAGATTCAAGCCGAACTGCAGACTTTTGCAGAGACTCGGTGCCATGGACACCAGAAGAAGATAATTCGTCAGCTGATATTACACTTTGTAATCCCAATTGCATCATTTCCATGAGTACGGGGAGGATTTCAGGAAAAGCAACTCGGGGCTGGCCATTTGACGAGAGGATCTCTATCAACCCTGGTCGATTGAATGGCAGATCCAGCCTCATATCGCCGACATCGAGACCAAAGAGGATGCTGAGACAAATACACCATATGGCGGGTACCTTCCACCAGCTTCTCAGACGATGTCGCAGGATAATATAGCCTCCAGTTTTCTCGGAGAACTTCTTACTGTAGACATCGCCGTGGCTGACTATCAAACGAGCCAAGATCTTGGTCGCGAGGGCGACAATTTCAGGTTCATCCTCACAAATGAGATACAGAAGCCACTACAGCAGGAAATGTCAAAACCGCCGATGAAAACACAACGTGGGAAGACTTTTTTTCATACCTTGTTCGTCACAGAACGCGCAAACTTTTTGAGTGGTATAAGGTCATGAGAATCGCAGAGGACAGAAGAGTACATTCGTAGCATCTCAACTGCTATCTTTGTGCTTGATACGCAGTCCCCTCGCTCCGCCGATGCTGCAATCTGTGGAGAACCGGCGGTGAATCGCAAACTCTTCTTTTTCTGGAGTCTGCTCCGTTCTCTGGTCTTATGAATAGCATAAGTGATGAAGAGAGCCAAGGAACGGAAGAGATCTGCAGAAAGACAGCTTTCCATGAGAGACCGAAAAGCAGAAACTAGAAGACTTAGGGATTCAGAGGTGAACTCGTCACCCTTGAGCGCCTCTAGTAACCTCTTGTTGACGCCTATACAAATCGTCAGCGAGGAGAGAGGTGTAGAAGGCGCAAAGGGAAAGGTATGAACATACGCATGCGAGAAAGACGTTTTGCATTGAACCGGCGATAGTTACTTTCACCAGCGAATGTGGAGAATTGAGAGTAGTATAAACTCAGTTGAGCGTAATCCCCTAGTCTCCAGATGTCGAGATCCACAAGCAAGACCCTGTAGGCCAGTGGATTTGTAATTATCGATCGGTTAGGGTGCTCGAAATCATATCCAACGAATTTGAGAGTCAGTCGAAGAAGGTCAAGACCCAAGGCATACCGTTCCTCGAGATTGGAGCAGATGCTAGAAGCCCTACTTGTCGCCGAACTATTCCCCAGCCCAAATTTATCTCGAAGTATCGCTGCAAGAATCCCGTACCCATTTTCCCTTTCCATTGCTTCACTATTTCGCCAATTGTCCTGTACAGCTTCGTACAACGCTTCAACCGCAAGAGTCAAGCATTCCGCGGTTTTTGCAGCATGCACCAGACTCAAGTGGACCGCCGCACAACCTCCGATGCGCCAACTAACGTCGTCAAGTGAATGAGGGACTGAAACAACTGGGTCTCCTGTCAAAACACCCATACCATGGGCCTGCGTCAAAGCGTCGTTCAACGAGGGAACGGCGCCATTGGCAGCTACTGCATTGCCGCCCGCCTTCGTCAACAGATGCAGATTCTTGATGGCTTTCCTGGAAAGACTCTTGATGAGCTGAGACTCATCAATGTTGTTATTATCGTCATCATCTAACACGGACATGGGTGAGATGTTAATCAAGATCGACCCTTCACGGATCAGAACGCTTGCTTTTCGTCGAATCGCAGTGACGATATCTGACGTTTCCTCCTTGCCAGGGTGCAGGTGCTCGTTTCGCAGGTTAAGCGTCGCGGAGGCCTTATAAGTTTGAAAAGAGCCCAGGCAATCTTGGAAATTGCCAAAATATCGAGGGCCCAGGTTGTAAAAGACAGCAACCATATCATCACTGTGGGCTTCCTCAAAGAGGATTGCATTCGCCAGGGACCAGCGTGATACAGAGACAGCCTTCCCAAGTTTCATCGCCAAATCTTGGGGGGTGCCAAAGAATGCCTGCACACGTGGCAATCGATTAGGAGTATTAGATACGGGCACACACGGGTAGTCAATCCTTAACTGCTCCACAAATTCGCCGTCAATGAACAAAGAAGCCCGGGAGTGCGATGGTGGCCTAGGCTTTTTATGCACCACACATATGTGATACCAACGGTTCGGTTCGAAAGCCATCGACTTGAATCGAACACTAGGACGAGTTCCTCTGATTGAAGTTTGTAAAATAAAGTTGCGAGTGTCTCTCTCGAGATACGCCAGTAAAAAACATGATTGACTCGCGTCAAAGGCGCCAAATATTGTAGTGTGTGTACTTGGATCGAATCTATCGAACCGCGCCCACACTGCAATAGTGTAACCTGAGGAAGTAACGGGAGGGAATGGTCGACCCAGGGTCGAAAACTCCAAGGAGGAATACCCATGGAGTGACATGTCGAACTGTATCAATGGGGGGTCTTTGGAACACTTTAGAACATCGACGAGGAACCGTAGCATTCTTGCACAACCATGGGCTTGCCGATACAAGGTAGCCGCATCCTCCAGACTAGTCAATCCTTGAGCACAAAGAAGTTGAGCCATGTCCTGGTAAATTATTCTCTCTGATTCTAGACGGTCACTTCCGAACAGAATAGGCAGTATTGAACTTAATATCCCAGTGGCGTGTAGCGCTGTCAGATTTCTTTGAGACTGATGAGCCAACTGACACAGGCATGCGGGCAAAACTAGCCTCTGAACTCTGTAGTCGGAAGGAGAAGACCCCGATTGCTTCAACCACCCTTTCAGAAACGGTCCCAAAAGTTCCGGCACCTCGACGGTCTCCGAGCTCCCCATGCGTCGATCAACTTCCGCCTTAACATCCTGCTGAAGCAATTTTTGGACTGATTGAAACTTCGCGTTGAGTGTGGTAAAGATATCAGCAACCGCTTCCTGACAGAGAGCCGCAGCCAGGATGCCACCATAAAATTGTTCCGTATCACCCTGAGCGCTGTTAAATTTCGGGACTATTATGTCCAGTGCTTCCTGCAGAGCTGCTGTACCTCCGCCGGATATCCGTCTTGCAAAGTAACGTCTGTTCCCGAAATTCCCCTTCAAGCTCTCGGCCAGGACGGCTAAAGCATCTTTGTAGAGGGTCAAGAGAGATCTTCTCTCTTCTGCGGATAACTCTGTCGGCTCGTACAGATGCGAGAGCTTCTTCACGAGCTGTAGTAACGTCTCGAAGCCATCAAGATGTCGAAAGGCCTCCTGGGCTTCTCTTGGACGATCATTATCAAGGAAGGTATGACGCAGACGTAGCAAAGATTCAGTCGCGGTATGAAATTGCTGCGAGGCAAACGTCTGCTTGTCGCAATTATCGCAGGTAGCTTTGAGCTCTTGAATAAGTGGCACTAATTCGGTAGCAGCAGCTGATCGTTCCGTCGACGAGGAAGTGAAGGGAGGAAGGTTGGAAGTAGGCTTGCTCATCTCGCCGCTTAAGATTTACCCTCGACTATCGACCTGATGGCCAACGACCATCAGACACCATGAAGCTGCTCTTGGCGTTATGATGAAGGCGGTCTGCATTGGTATGTGTACTGCTACCAAGTCGTCCTGGAGTAATCAAATGAGGACCTGCTGGTCAGCAGACGAGTGGCCGCGCGATAATGATGTGAAACCTAACGAGGGGTAGACAGCTCCTGTTAGATTACCAATTCAGGGAATTTTCAGCTTCGAATAGACTAGACTTACACACTATCCAATTTAATCCTTGGCTCATTCCGGATGTCACTCAAAGCATCCCTTCTCTCCTCACGACCGCGGGGAAATACACCAAACCGAAATGTGTGGCTGAGTGTCCAATCTTCCTTCCTCGAGCGGAGACTATCAGGTGACGAAAGTGGCCATTCCTGTGTGATAGCTATTATTGGACAGCTATCGATATCGATAAGCATGGTGTCCTTATCATTGTTGCTTCTGAGTGGGTTCACGTCCGTGGTATTAGGTTATGTAAGATGCGGGTATCACTCCCATACTCAGGGCAGGCACCCGGCAACATTACTCAGGTCGATCAGCCTGATTTCCTGCTATTTTAGTTGTCAGGCGAGCACTCAAAGGGAGCACGCGACTCGATGGATATATTGCTGTTCTGAACTTCGATCCGCAAGAACTTTGGGCTTTGTGTGGCTGAGTATTATGCTACAGGTACCTGCAGTGTATAGTCCCTAAGCTCAGGTACCTATTTAATTACAGGGAACACTCAGTTAACACTACAAAAGTTGTTATGAGGGGCGTGTAAAATCACATTTGCTGTTCAGCGTCATTTCTAGCCAATGAAGCTGTCAACTTATCATCATTGAGTCACTCTTAATATCTGCCTTGCACATGAGGAATGATAGGTTAAGACGCAAGTACCTACTACTAGTACCTAGGTAGCTAGCCCTCTGCTCCACCCGGCTACGCCTCACTCCATGTCCCTAAGGTACCAGACAGGCTATAGCAAGTAGTACGGACCCAGCTTTACGCTGGTACGAATACAGGGCAATTCGTAATCAGTGCTCTTATCTTTCCAGGTTGTGGGGAATTTTACGTACCATGATAGAAGGATCTACCATGCCATGATGCGGATGATTCATACCATTACCGTTCCGTTACCTACCGCCCGTCCGCCATACCCCAGGTCTTACCCGCCGCGCTAAACTGGGCTGATCGACAGCCAGTCAGGCTGCGTGCTCCTGGTCATCTGCCGTAAGTTACGGTATCCCGGGTTGCATCATCCTCTGCTGCCCTTGCCTGCTGAGGAGTCCATTAGTAGGCAGTTCTCCTCTTCTTCTACTCCAACCTCCCCCATCCTCGTCTTCATCCTTCATCTCTCCTTCATCCAACTTCAACCACCAATTCCATCTTTCATCTTATTATTCCATCTGTTTCGTGACTTTTTGTCCTAGTCGTCCGTCATGAAAGGCTATTTCAGCCTTTCTATACTCCCGTTGCTCGTCGCGGCGTCCCCTGTCGTTGTTGACTCCATCCACAATGGAGCCGCCCCCGTTCTCTCGTCCATGAACGCCAAGGAGGTTCCAGACTCCTACATTGTTGTTTTCAAGAAGCACGTCAATGCTGAGTCCGCGGCTGCTCATCACTCGTGGGTGCAGGACATCCACAGTGCTCAGAACGAGCGGGTCGAGTTGAGGAAACGCTCCCTCTTCGGGTTCGGTGAGGAGGCCTACCTCGGTCTGAAGAACACCTTCGACATTGCTGGCTCACTTGTGGGCTACTCGGGACACTTCCACGAAGATGTTATTGAGCAAGTTCGCAAACACCCTGATGTAAGTGGCCTGTTAGAACCCTTACGTAGTCACTGCATGGAGCCATAGCTAATCGGACTCTTTCCAGGTTGACTATATCGAGAAGGACTCCGAGGTTCACACTATGGAGGATCCCACTGTCGAGAAGAGCGCTCCTTGGGGTCTTGCCCGTATCTCTCATCGTGACAGCCTCTCCTTTGGTACATTCAACAAGTACCTGTATGCATCGGAGGGCGGTGAGGGCGTTGATGCCTACACCATTGACACCGGCATCAACGTCGACCATGTTGATTTCGAAGGTCGTGCCAAGTGGGGCAAGACCATTCCTACCGATGATGAGGACGCTGATGGCAATGGTCACGGAACGCACTGCTCTGGAACCATTGCCGGTCGGAAGTATGGTGTCGCTAAGAAGGCCAACCTCTACGCCGTCAAAGTCCTCAGATCAAGTGGCTCTGGTACAATGTCCGATGTCGTGGCTGGCGTCGAGTGGGCTGTCAAGTCTCACCTCAAGAAGGCCAAGGATGCCAAGGACGGTAAGATCAAGGGATTCAAGGGCAGTGTTGCCAACATGAGTCTTGGTGGTGGCAAATCCAGGACGCTTGAAGCTGCTGTCAATGCTGGTGTTGAAGCTGGTCTTCACTTCGCTGTTGCTGCCGGTAACGACAATGCCGATGCCTGCAACTACTCTCCAGCAGCTGCCGAGAATCCCATTACTGTTGGTGCCTCAACACTCCAGGATGAGCGTGCCTACTTCTCCAACTATGGAAAGTGCACTGATATCTTCGCTCCTGGCCTCAACATCCTCTCCACCTGGATTGGCTCTAAGCACGCAGTCAACACCATCTCCGGCACTTCGATGGCGTCTCCCCACATTGCCGGTCTGTTGGCTTACTTTGTGTCTCTGCAGCCTTCTAAGGACTCGGCCTTTGCTGTAGATGAGCTCACTCCTAAGAAGCTCAAGAAGGATATCATCGCCATTGCTACGCAGGGCGCTCTCACAGACATCCCGTCTGACACTCCCAACGTAAGTTACCAGTTCTGTGATTCGACACTACTCGTATGAAGAGAAGAACTAACAGTTTCTATAGCTCCTTGCCTGGAACGGTGGTGGGTCTTCCAACTACACCGACATCGTTGCAAGTGGCGGCTACAAGGTCAATGCCTCCGTCAAGGATCGCTTCGAGGGCCTTGTTCACAAGGCCGAGAAGCTGCTCACCGAGGAGCTTGGTGCCATCTACAGCGAGATTCATGACGCTGCTGTTGCATAGATGTGGAGTCTCATGGTTCAAGGGAATGTATTCATCTTGTGGGACTCGGGAACAGGCCGTTGATGAGGGAATACTGGCGCAGGTTTTTGTCTTTTGCTCTGGCTACATGCAGTTGTCGATGCATTGATTGCATCGCGTGATTTTATCTACTCTCATTTTTACCGTAGTATACACGTCCACAACCCATACTTTTTGACGACTGATTTAGAGGATTGTTTGCCCGCTTCATCAGATTGGCAATTTAAGAATGCGCAATTCCACTTAGATCCAGCATCTATTCAACTGTACATGAGACGGTCTCGGCTCTGGAACTTGTTGATGAAATGGTTTGAGATCAGCACTCACCCAAGGATGTGTCACGCGAACATCAGCACCGTCTTCCGGTGTTATTCTAGGTTTCGCAATTCCCCTACTGAAGTGCGTGATTGATCCGGAATACTCCTCAAGCAAAAGACGAACCATCGTAGCTGAGCGAAACTGGTTGTTTGCCTACCGCTTTGCGATATATATAATCCGTCCTATGAAAAGTGTTCAAATCACTCGCTCTATGAGTATCGAATGGAAACACTTCAGACAGCTAGTAGCATCTTCTCTACTTTCGTAAAGAAACAAAATGCGAAGCCATCACAATAACAATAGACAGAGCTAACACAGACCACTTCTGGGACTACGTTTGACACACAGTGACACCACGCATTCCTTCTGCTTACCTGAAACTAGTCCTGTACGACATGAAACAGAGCCGCATGAACTGGAAAGACCACTTAGCAGATGGTACAAGGTTTTTCCCAAGTGATTTCTGATGCGCTGTGTTGCAACTTTCACGGTAACGCCTTGGGGTTGGGTGGTGTGACCTATGGAAAATGGAAAAGGATGGATCAGGGGTATCTGCATGGATAGTTATCTTTGACGAGTTGAACAACGTCTTTGGTGACCTGGTGTTGAGGTAGTGTGGAGTGGAAGGCTTGATTAGGATATACTAAAACTTGCTGTAGATAGGGGCTGCTGTGCTAACATCTAACATATCCGGCTAGAATGTTTGGGAAGTACCATTCGCTGATAGAAGAGTCCACGACTCTGAGGTCTTGTCATGGGGTAGAAATGGAAACATGTCTTGGAAAGTTCCCTGTATCCGTAGCTTACACACAATGCAGCAAGAAGACATCGCGAAATGAACCAAAGACGGCAGTAGTGATTGTTGGTACAATTGCGATAGAAAGCAAAAGATACCCAGCTGTAATGGATAGATCTATGGTAGATATTGCCGTGAATCAATGAAAAAAGCCCGTAGCTCGCCAATGCGCCTGCGCTATGCATGAAAAGCCGATAAGATCTTCGCCACAGAAATGAGACCCGCAGAAGGATCAAGATCAAAAGAAGCAAAATCCTCCTCTGAACATCGGGAAAGCAGCGACAAATCACCTTCAATCCTGGTCGTCCTCCTCATCGTCACTGCCGGTATCCTGGTCGTCAAGATCCAAGTCCTCGTCTGAGTCACTTCCCCCAAACACATCGCTGTCGACTTCACTGTCGGCCCAGAAGTCTGCATCGTCGGCCTTCTCTGTTGGTCTGTTCATCGAGGACTCATGAGTGGGCATGACGAACCCTTCGGGAATGTCCTTCTTCGATTGCTCAACATCCTTCCTCACCAGCGCCTTGTACGATTCGAAGTCCTTTCGTAGCATGACACCGGCATCAACATTGGCGGGCGACGACACTTCGGCATCATCTAGGAGTGACAGGATCGAGATAAGGACAGACTCGACACGTTGAGCGGGCGACCAGCGTTCCGAAGCTAGCTCGCCTGACATTTCATCCTCACCGGGCGCGTGCAGGATAGATATGCAGAGTTTGCCGTCCGGATAGATGTTGGGGTGGTAAAGAGGGCGGAGAAACCGAAACTCTACATGAGAAATTATGAAGGTCAGGGCTGACCGAGATGAAAACAAGGAACACAGGAGGGGCTCACCAGGCGGGGAGTATGGGTAGTTCTTGGAGAACTTCATGGACGCCTTGAAGTAACCGCCGTAGTACAGAGAGTCCGGGTTTAGTACGATGAGGCCAACATTCCAGTTGAAGATATCTTCGTCATTGAGCTGCCAGGTTCATGTCAGACCGGATGTCACTCATTTGCAAGGATACAGGCGGCAGTAGATCAGGTATTTCTCAAGGTTCGTGATCTCCAAATCCTGATCCTGTAACCTGAATATATCCATACAATAGAGTAGGCGTACCTCGATGTTTACCCAATCCTCCTTAGCCAAGGCCTTGTATTCGTTCATCAAGATACGCTCCGCCATGGCGGCGACAAAGAGTGGAAGCGGCTCGCGAGGTTCGATTGGAGGGACGGAGATGTTCTGTCAAGGAGGGTGTTGCAAAGCGGGTAAGTCGAAAAGAGGCGGCAGAGTAAGCTGGCTAGCACCTTGTCAGAGGTGAATCACAAAGCAAATACTAGTGAATGACACAAAAGAACGGAAGAAGGAATAATACATGGGCAGCTCAGGATGGTCGCCTGAACGATCAAAGGCTGCCTTAGGTTTTGGCCAGGCTTTCCTCTTTGGGTTACGGTGCCGCCGTGGCAATCCATGACGGAAGAACCCGGGGTGGCGCTACACCAGAATAGGAAGAATTACTGCATGCAAAAGACAATCAGTACCTCTGTACCTTGGTCCACAGAGTGGGCAGGCAGGCAGCCATGTCTATCGAGGTGGCCAATTATCAGAAGGCTTTATCAGCATCAATCAAGAATCTTATCTTCATTTTATGACATTTTGACATTGGAGTTGTATCTTTTTCATCGACTTGGACGTCAGAGCAGTCCCTCGATATTTCTTCATTACGGCGTAGTACCTGACGCTATCATACTTAGGTACCTCAAATTTGAGAATCAGAATCCCAGTCAGAATGGGAATGGGAAAAAGCTCTCCAAGTAGATTGAATGTTCTGTCAAAGAAAGCGCGAAGTTAGAGACTGCTCCTTCGTCTTAGGACATGATGATAAGGGGACGGTAGTGTTGGTGGATATGAGATCAGGCCAATAAGACAAGTATCTTGTCACGTCGCATTTGTTTATCTCATCCTGTTGTTGGATGGGATCATGGAGCACACGCACCTTCAGTGAGTCATGCCGACTCGTGCGGCACGACCCCAAGTCTGAGACAATCCTGGCTAGCGCGCAACTATGATTGACAATAACGCCCTCCGTCGGAATCCTAATTGATGACACGAGTCGGATAAGATGGAGATACCGGCCCTCGTCTTGGTTGATCTGCAGCTGCTTGTAATTGGAATTGTGTAAGTTTCTCCGGAGTATATCGGTGTCGGTGTGATGAGGAAGCGAAGAACCTGCAGGAAGCAACAGGTGATAAGTGACGTTGATGGTTGATCACCTGCTCTGGTGCTGACTACTTGAATACTGATGTTCTGCGCCTAGATTATCATAGAGGACAAGGAGCGAAACAAGCATCACGAGATACTCTTTTCCTAGGATTTTGATGAAACTGGCTCGTATTAGAACCTACCATCGTGCTCTGTCCATGAGTGATGATGATAAAGCCTCCGTTTCCTAGGCAGCCCCCGGATAGCGGTGACCCACGAAGTAATCACTCAACTTCCTTGGACGATGATAGCGACGTCTTCAAGCGTTCTGTGTTTCCTAAAGCCGGAAAAGATTCACTTGACCTTTACCAGTCTGACTCACACTCAGAGAAGGAGTTGCATGTGTTGATAAAATAATAGCACAACAAGATCATTGTTGGTGGAGTGCTTTAAAGGTCGATCTGGGTTGCATCGGCCTCTTGCTTCTAGTAGGGAGCTAGCGCCTCTAGTGCTTTAGTCCCAATCTGCTCGCCGCCCCCTTCCCCCCACCCTCGCATTAGTATTAGACTATCATTCTTACAATACTTCTTAGTAAATACTGTCGAATTCGATTCTTCCGGGTTCCGCTGCCACCTTGATTTGACCTCTTCGTATTCATTTCTCTCTTTTTGATCTTTTGCCCTAACTATCTTTGCTTTTCGTTCGTTTAGAAAGAACCCCCGGCAATGTCAGGCTCCTCCTGCATCTCGATGTCGGAAAGCTGTCAGTAACGCGAGTAGCTTTGGCAAGTTCTTGTTCTTTACGCTTCGACGTCATCCACCGCGGGCTACGTTCCAGCACCTGGATGTGAGGCGGAAGAATCGACGTGGCTCTCGTTCTTACTTCTGCTACTTATATTTCTTTCCCAACATAAAAATGTTGCCAGAATGCCGTGGTCCCATTTGGGCCATTGATGACGTTTCTCGTTGCTTTCAGCGCAAGTATGTCTCAAGCGCTCACCTGTTCCTGCAATTTGCGAAGCATTATCTCGGTCTAACGCATTTTGAGTTAATACAGATATCTGCAACTTATATTTCCATTAGCAGCATGCGGTCTCTCCTTATTGTATATCGTACTCCGCGTTGTCCATCGCTACGTTGTGAAAAAGAAGGGAATCGCTTACACGGTCCTCGTGAACGATGAAGCCGAGAACGGTGTATCCAGTACTGGACCAGTTGATGAAGAGGACGGAGAGGACGGAGAGGAAACCGATCCGATGTTATTCAAGGCGACGCAGCTGGAGCAGACGCGATTGGAGCTCGACCGCCCGCGAGGAGAAATCGCCATCATAGCTTTGGAAATAGCTGCATTAGTGGGCTTAGTGACCACGTTTGTCATCGTACTGAACACCAACGCCTGGGGCGACAATGGGACGCTTCCAGCTGTGGGGAAGCTGATTTCATGGGGCTATATACTGTTTTTAGTGCTGGTTCGATTCACTCTTTCAACTTTGAAGCTGCAATCGTCTCCTCGGTTGTGGAACCACACTGCGGCCCTTTATGGTATGCAATGGTTGTTCAACCTCTTCGTGTTTCGATCGGCCGTCATTTACCCCTCGTCGAAACGCGCTTTGACATTGAGCGCCGTCGAGTTTGCACTGTCGACACTGCTCTTCCTCATTGCTGTGACCACACGCAGAGGTAA